AAGCTGATCACTCTGTATTTTATCGACATTCTGCTTCAAATCTCTGTATTTATCTGGTCGTTTATGTTGACGATATTGTTATTACCGGCAATGATCAGGATGGTATTAGTAAGTTGAAGCAACATCTCTTTCAGCACTTTCAGACTAAGGATCTGGGCAGATTAAAGTATTTTCTGGGTATTGAGGTCGCTCAGTCTAGCTCAGGTATTGTGATCTCACAACGGAAGTATGCCTTAGATATTCTTGAGGAGACAGGAATGACAGGTTGTAGACCTGTTGACACTCCGATGGATCCGAATTCTAAACTTGCCAGGACAGGGGGAGCCTCTTAGCGATCCTGCAAGATATAGGCGGTTGGTTGGTAAACTAAATTACCTCACAGTGACTAGACCTGACATTTCCTTTCCTGTGAGTGATGTGAGTCAGTTTATGGATTCTCCCTGTGATAGTCATTGGGATGCAGTTGTCCGCATTCTTCGGTATATAAAATCAGCTCCAGGCAAAGGCTTATTGTTTGAAGATCGAGGCCATGAGCAGATTGTTGGATACTCAGATGCTGATTGGGCAGGATCACCTTCTGATAGACGTTCTACGTCTGGATATTGTGTCTTAGTAGAAGGAAATTTGGTGTCTTGGAAGAGCAAGAAACAGAATGTGGTTGCTCGGTCTAGTGCAGAAGCAGAATATCGAGCAATGGCTATGGCCACGTGTGAGCTAATTTGGATCAAACAGTTGCTCAAGGAGTTGAAATTTGGTGAGATTAGTCAGATGGGACTTGTGTGTGATAATCAAGCTGCTCTTCATATTGCGTCAAATCCAGTGTTCCATGAGAGAACTAAACACATCGAGATTGACTGTCACTTTGTTAGAGAAAAGTTACTCTCGGGAGATATTGCTACAAAATTTGTGAAGTCGAATGATCAGCTTGCTGATATTTTCACCAAGTCCCTCATTGGTCCTCGTATTAGTTATATATGTAACAAGCTCGGTACATATGATTTATATGCACCAGCTTGAGGGGGAGTGTTAGTTTCATTGTATAAATAGTAGTAAATAAACCTAATCCCATATGTATTAGGAGTAGGACATGTATTGTATATATATAGGGCTCATTGTATCAATGTCAAATTCAATCAATAATATATTTTCTCCCGTGCTTTCTTACAAATCCAACGGGTTGTGAGTTAAAGGCTTCAGGCACGAATTCCATTATAATATCATGCCGAAAAAAGCAGAAAATTGCTGGGATCACTGTTCACGCCGGAAAAATCACTGTAGCTCGCCGGAAAAAACTCAAAGTGGTCGGAATTTGATTTGAACTAGATGGGTAGGCTCGGAATTGTGAGGAGAGCAAGCTGTCCTGAAGGAATTTCGTGAAAAAATGGCCGGAAAAGGTGTCACGCGCCGGCGTGTAGGTGTCGGAGCTTTGCCGGAAAATTTCTTCCGGCGGCGCGTGGCGGCGCGTGGGGGGATTTCTGACGGAGAAATTTTTAAGGGTTGGTCGCCGGAGGCCGATCTACTTCGTGGTGGTGTTGGTTTTTGCACAACATTGACGAAAAATGGTTTTTTTTCTTACGGACAGCCTATTAAGTCGCCGGAAAATTGAACGGCAACGAGGTCTTTCTTCCCGGAGGCCGCTGGAATGATGCACAGCGATAATTTCTCACTGATGCTCTGATACCATGTGAGAAAGCATGGGAGAAAATATATTATTGACTAATATTGACAATGATACAATGAGCCCTATATATACAATACATGTCCTACTCCTAATACATATGGGATTAGGTTTATTTACTACTATTTAGACAATGAAACTAACAGATATAAATCATGTGTCCCGAAATCACAAACTTAGTATAGACTACTGTATAGGAAACTTTAGGACTATGAGTCCAATGCTACCAAAAGTTCCCAAATACTACAATTACACATCTTATATACTTCCTCCATCCTAATTTATGTGATGGTGTTTGACTGGCACAATTTTTTTTAATAACCGTGGACTTGTGTGCACCTCGACTAGTTCCACGAGATACCTGCTACTTCCCCCCATTAAGAGATACCAGGTAACTATGTCCTCCAAGGCTTGGACTGATGGGAAGAGATCACCTAGTATTTCCTTCGCTGGGATTTGAACCTAAGAGCTCATGGTTCTCAACCTACTTCGTTGACCACTAGACCACACCCTTGGATGCGACTGACACGGTGTTTAAGAAAGAAAGAAAGACTTTTGAAACTTGTGGCACATACATTTGTGGCTATAAATCATCTCATTAAAGTTAAACTAGGTAAATTTAAAGTTAAATTGTTTCTAAATATAGAAAGATGTCATTTTTCTTGGGATAGACTAAAAAAGAAAGTTTGTCGTATAAAATTGGTCAAAGGGAGTAATTCTTTTAGAATGAAGCTAGGGATTATTTCATCCTAACATGTGAGAAAAAATAAACTAACGCAAGCTGGCTATGACTAATCAATAAAACTTAAGCAGGATGGTTTTCATAGTTAGTGTAAAGCCAAAAGATAACTCTAGGGAATAACGATAGAATGAGAGACTTCAATTTCGTGAAAAACCTCTCCAAAGCTAAGAGTAAAACCCACAAAACATTGGTCCATCAAAAGCTCCACTTGACCAAAGTAGATTCACAAAAGTCCTCCAAAATGGTCGCAGAACCAGTGCCGAATCGGGAGAAACAATAGCAACAAGAGTAACAAGAAAATAAGTGAAGAATGAGAAAGAATCACACAGAGACAAGCAATAGTTTGTGGCTCAAAGTCTACAGCTAAAGATCTTTAAACACAATCTCCGATCGAAAAATAGGATGTTAGGAAATCCTGCAAAAAGTTTTAGCTAGTTCTACCGTTGAACGAATAAAAAACGCAATTTCAAGCTAGCAGCTCACATCAAAAATTTGCAGCAAAGAGAATTTTTTTCTCTTTTCTTAAAAACGGCTGCTCTAATCTCTCTCTTTGCCACTAAGGAGCCTTTTATAATAGTTTAAGAAGAAACCAAATCCAAACAAAAAGTGTGAGAATGCAGGGGAGAAAAATCTATTTATTAGCAATGACATAATGAGCCCTATATATAATACATCTTCTACTCCTACTACATATGGGAATAGGACATATTCTACTCTATGGGACTAGGACATATTCTACTCCTACTACATATGAGACTAGGACTATTTACACATAACTATCTAACACTCCCCCTCAAGCCGGTGCATACAAATCATATGTACCGAGCTTCTTACATATCTAACTAATGTGAGGACCAGTGAGGGACTTGGTGAAAATATCTGCAAGCAGCTGATCATTCGACATACAAGGCCACTAGACTCCCCCTGAGCAACAAAATCAGTTGGTTGCTGATAAACATATGTTGGCCGAAAAGTCGTAGGAAAAGTTTGAAGATAATGAGACCAAGCCGAATTCTACACCATAAAATAGGTTCTAAAATACCACCAGAAAACTTTTCCAGAAATCACTGTCCACGCCGGAAAAAATAAAGTTGTCAAAATTTGATGTAATTTATTTGTGTAGGCTCGGAATCACTGGACGAGTATGTTGTCCTGAATAAATTTTGACAAAAAGTGGCCGGAATGGCTCACACACGCTGGAAAAGTTATTGTAGCTCGCCGGAACCCTAGTTCTAGCGGAGCGTGGAGGCCCATGACTTTCTGCCAGGAGCGAAAGTCGTCAACTGGAAAGATGCGCGGTGACTGACTTTTCTGTTCAAATGGGGAATTTATGGGGTTTGGTCGCACAGTGGTTTCGGATTTGATGGTGGTATTGGTATATGCACAACACCACTGTAGTAGTGATGAACCCTGGGAACAAAAAGAAGTTGCCAGAAAATTGCACGGCAACGAGATCTTTCTTCCCGGATGTCGCTGGAATGACGCACAACGATAAGTTTCTCATTGAAGCTCTGATACCATGTGAGAATGCACGGGAGAAAAATCTATTTATTAACAATGACACAATGAGCCCTATATATAATACATCTTCTACTCCTACTACATATGGGATTAGGACATATTCTACTCCTACTGCGTATGGGACTAGGACATATTCTACTCCTACTACATATGAGACTAGGACTATTCACACATAACTATCTAACAAAAAGGAATTTAAACCAAACCCAAACCAACACGAAATTTGAGAATGGCAATTAGGCCACTTGGTTGGAAAAGTGGGCGTGGGCCCAACAAACTTCCCCTCCGGTCAAAGGAGATCAATAAGCCTTCAAGCATAAGAAGTGTTAGACAGGCTTCACGCCTGCCAGTTGTCTGCAAACTGATTTTGATTTACAGTCACCACCTTTTGACTTTGCCAGCATATCAGAAGGATTATCATCAGTGAATCATTGTAACCTCAAACAATTTTCTTCCACAGGCATTCTGACCCAATGATACTTTCTATTGATATATTTCATTTTAGAATGAAAAGTGGAGTGTTTGGTGAGGCAGTTAACACTCCGATTGTCCCAAAATAGAGCATACTACAATTGCTAAAAGCCAGATCTCAATCAAACCTTTTCATTTACAACAATTTCTTGGATCCTTCAGTTATAGTAATGTATTCCGCTTCTGTGGTGGACAGAGTTATTCACTTTTGTATGCTGGTACCTCTTTAAACGCATTTAAGTTTTTACCTCTTCAAAGAATATGTAGGCTTTAAGGTCTGGTGCTTATTTTTTCTAAACAAAGAAGTGAAGTTGCAAGCTTCTCTATGAGAACAGGAATAACTGAACATATTCTGTTCAAAAGAAGAGTGAAGAAGAGTGCATGTAACTTGAAAGAGATGGATTGCAAGAACTAGACTGTTGTTCTCTGTACAGTAGGATTTTGATTCTCGACTCACAACTTGTCTTCATTTGTTCAATACCTTAATAAGCAACCCTATCTGATTGCATTGCAAGATGCTTATCTGTATGTAAACTTATGCTATCTAAATCAGCACGGCGTACTCATAGCTTATACTAAATTGCGCAGGTTTACACTGTACATCTATTACAGTTCAGTCATCTGTCAGGTACTTGTGATGTCCTTATCATCTATGAGCTTTTACTGGTTGCATTCTTGCCCCTTTTCCAGCTTTCAGAATTAATCAGTCATATAATCTTTCAAGGGGATTTGCCCAGGATTAGAATTGATTTACCTTGTCGAAAAGATATATTGATTTTGGATGAAGTCGAGAAGTATTTCTTTTCTGTAATATGCAGTGTTCTGAATATCAGACTACGTAAGACTACATTCAAGTAGTTCGATCATGTTGAAGTCTGTAACCACCTCATCTAAAAGCTTAAGCTGTTAGAGAGAACATACTTTTATTTACTTAATTATGTCTTCAACAGATCAGTCATGAAATGAATTTACGTATGCAAAGGAACAAAGAAAATCTTGACCATATTTAGCTGGAGGAAATTGTGTCTTGTATCAGGCTGCATTCTGGTACTTAAGTTTATCTCTTGTTCTGAAATGAATGGGCAACTAACAGATGTATGTTGTAGTTTCACTAGTTCTTAATAGTACAAGACCAAATATTGTATCTTAATTACCTACATTTTGTTCCATTACAGATTGGATTACTAAATCTGAAATGTCTGTGATGTAGATTTTATTTGGGGCTCTGCTTCTTGTTCATCTTCCTAATTTGGATCCTTTCTCTGGCTATGTTCCACTAAGGAGTGAGTCCATTGATGACAATAATGATGAAACAGTTGGAGCAGACCGTATTTGCCCTGAGAGATATGCAAGCATTCTGTCAAGTCAGTGGGTTCTGCCTTTTAGTTTTAACGCTCGCCAGTTAATCCTGAAGTGGTTTCATTTGGGTTATACTATAAGAAAGTTGGTAAAAGCTATTGCACTGATTTGCTTACGGACATTCATCTCTTGTTAATTCTTTCAAACTACAATGACTTTATGCCTTCTGTATTTAATGAACTTGAATCAAATTTTCTTATGACTTTTCATAACCGAAAAATGGGAGGTCCTGTGGGAATCGAACTATCCTCTATCAATGGCTAAATGATAATTGGAGTTCCTTAACTCTGGTAGGGATTTCTTTTGGATGGATAACTCCCCTCTTGCAACAAGGCTGTAAGAGACCAATCACTGAAAAGGATGTCTGGAAGTTGGATACATGGGATCAGTCTGAGACATTGAGTGCAAGGTTTGTAATCGGTGTATCTTTTACCCTCAATATTGGCATAATCAGCTGTAAGACAGTGTTGTTACACATTATCCATTTCAACTCTTTCAGATTCCAAAAATGTTGGGCTGAAGAATCTCAGAGGAAAAAACCATGGCTTCTTCGTGCTTTGAATTGCAGTCTTGGAGGCAGGTATGGTTTTTGCTACATTCTATTCACAACAGGCATCTTTTGCCTAAGTATTGAGAAGGCAACTATATTTGTGCTTCTTCTTCCACCGCTATGCAGATGAGTCTTACTCTTATATCTTTCTGCAATTTTCTACAGGTTCTGGTATGGAGGCCTCTTCAAAGTAATGTGCTTAGTCCTTGGAGTTTGTCATAAAATCTAGTTATCTTTTCCTTGAAGTTTAGTTTTTCTACTAGATGTTAAGAGTTGTTTTATAACTTTCTGCAATTTTCTACAGGTTCCAATAACATTGGCAATATGTCTTTTGAGTTCTTCTAACTGCTCTTAGTGTAGTTAACTATTCACAAGTCTTTCTTCATATCATCAATTTGCATATGATATGAGGTGCTGACTTGTCTTCTGCGATGATAACTGTCACTTTGATTATGTTCCTTATAAATTTGTTTTTTAGTAAAGTTCGAACCATTTGACAAAGTGAATCTCTCTGCCATTAAGTTTTATCTCCGCCTGTCATGTTTTGCCTAAGTGCATCCACATGCCAATATTTGGAAATTGACTTTTCTGGTTTAAAGAAGGCTTAAGGATGCTACAAGGAGGTAAGGATGCTGGACTTGTTTTATTCGGCAAAAATTAAAATGGGAAGAGGACAAGGACGTTGATGCTTGCAAGACGAAAAGATAATTGGAGGAAGAGGAAATTTGCACAGAGCAAGATACTTGTAGTTCAGTGAGAGGAATGGAGGGAAATGTATAACCTGCTAGCAGAGATCTGTGGAAATTGGTTTCACAGCTACACATCCCTTTTCTTGTTGTGTGAATGTGCAGGAGGAGTTTCCTTTTTTGGATTAGGTGTGGGGTTAGAACCTTTTTAGAGAATAAATTTCCTTTTCAGATTTGAAAATGACAGGGTAGCTATAAAGAAGACTGACAAGATTAAGTGTTGTGTATTGAGGGAGACAATGGACAATATTAAGGGTAAAGATAAAATGTGATAGCAGAACTAATCAAATGGTTGTAATGCTTGTTGGACTGGAAAAGCAGTGGCAAGCAGGTATCTGCAGCTTGTGATGCATGAAGGGTGAACGAAGGAGAGAAAGATGGGAACACAAGGCAGATCTTCCACCCAATGCGATTTAGATCAAACAGAAGGAAAAATGTGCGGTCATGCATATATTTGTCGTAGGTCAATTTGAGGGCGCTAGAACTTTGCTTTTGCTGATTTCTTGGATAAGTTGAGTGTAGAAGAGATCGTCTTTGCTCATCCCTCCCTCTTGTATCGATGTGGATTCTCCGCAGTGCAAATTGAGTAACCTTTTTGCTTACTAATAGGGAAGAAAATTTTCTCTGATAAAACTGATTTTCTTTCTTCCTAGTTTTCAACTTCATCCTGATATTCAGGCTCCTGTCCATCATTCCATCTAAAGAATTCATGCTGGAATCTTCTCTGTGGTTACCTATAATTTTCAAACACCATGGCAAGATATTTTTGGCTTACCCTTTCCCGTCTTGAACTGAAACTTATTTGGGTCATCTTTTAAATTTCTACCATTTCTGACTTTTCAGTTCCATGTGAATATTTATTTTTTTTGTGCCAATTCTTAGGTTGGTAGTGATCTTTGCCAGTTTGTGGGACCACTACTACTTAATCGTCTTTTAAAGGTAACTTTTGGTTGTTGGGCTTTTGTTTACTTTGATCTCCTCTAATTCAGTGTTTTATGCATTTAAACTACCTGCAATTTTCTCGTAGCTAGTACGCACTCAACACCGAGGGTCTATCGGAAACAGCTTCTCTGCCCTTCCAGGGTAGGGGTAAGGCTGCGTACATCTTACCCTCCCCAGACCCCACTTGTGGGAAATTACTGGACTTGTTGCTGTTGTTGTTGTAGTACTGCAAAATCAACACATATGAGAAAGGTCACTGGTTTTTATTTTGTAAACATTGATATGTTTTTTGACTAGTAACAAATATGAATATCAGAGTATATGTCAATGACTAATTAATAAGGAATACAAAGTTTACACTTGTGATACATTCTCAATGAGAAAATCTAACTATTCTAAAAATGTCACATCCATCGGCTTATCAATCTTTACTTCCAAACCTTCTTAAACCACTGCTAATACAATATGCAAGTCAAAATAACTTGTTAATTTGAAGCTCAATCAAATTATGTCAAATGGGACAATGGTGTAATTACAAGTTAAAGAACATAATATGGTAGAGAGTGCACTTAGTTTAATGGCAGATTTGTTTGTGATCCATCTTACCTTAATATAGAGATCAGTCTATTATGCCTTCACCAGATATAGCCATAAGCATATGAGATGTTAACAAGATTGAATATGTAGTAAATTGTGAAAGAGAGTCTTTAGGAGGACTAATCCCATTTTGTGTTTCCTCCTCTTTGAGCTGTTACCTTCTTGATTGTGGTATGCCGTAGCTGTTTTGATTTTCATATTATGCATGGAAGTAATGCATTCTTCTGGGTTCACTAATATTATATCTCTTCATTATTAACTTGATATTTCTTACAGTCTCTGGAACGAGGCGAACCAGCTTGGGTTGGCCACCTATATGCTTTTCTGATTTTTGTTGGGGTGGTAAGATACAATCTTCATCATATTAAAAGCATATAATTCGTTGCTTTCATTCAAATATCACGTAGTTTTCTTCTTGCTCGCGGCTGGATAGTTCAGAAGTTTGATTCTCTGGGCATTCGATTAGCTTGTCTTATTTAAATAATTTTATTTAATCCAGCCGCATATTAGCGTGCGTGTGTGTATATATATATATTGTTAGATAGTTATGTAATTAGTCCGAGTCCCACATTGAATAGGAGTAGAATATGTATTATGTATAGTTATAAATAGGGCTCATTGTATTGTACTTAACACATCTATAATATATTTTTTTCCCGTGCTTTCTCACATAGTATCAGAGCATTGGTGAGAAAAGATCTATGTGCGTCATCGTAACCGTTAAGAAAGAACTTGGTCATCGTGTAATTTTTCTTGTGACCTAAGGGTTGTCCACGTGAAAGTCATTTTCTGTTGGTGTTGTACAAAAACAACACCACGACGAGGTAGATCACCTTCCGGCGACCTACCCCAAAAAATATCTCCGACAGAAAAGCTGCCACGCACCGGCAACAGTGACTTTTCCGGCGAGGGTTCCGACTCACACGCTGGTGCGTGAGCCACTTTCTAGTCATTTCTCGCCAAGCTTCTTCTAGACAACTTACTCACCCTTTAACTCCGAGCCTACTCATCAAATTAAAACCAAATTCCGACCACTATTCTAATTTTCCTGGCGTGAACAGTGATTTTCCGGCGTGAACAATAATTTCCAGAAAAGTCTCTGCTTTCTAGTGGTGCTTTAGAACTTATTTTGAAATGTGGAACTCGGCTAAAGCTTTAACATTTAGTCTCACTACTTTCAAATTTCTCCGACGATTTTTCGGCCAACTTTTGTCTACCAGCAATACTTTAGCAGCAAATTCTTGAGTAGGTCATTGAGATCTGCCTTAAACCATTATAATGTTATTCGTATCAAAGCCTTTGACTCACAATCCGTTGGATCCAATGCGTAATCCAATCCAGATGGTTTCTTTATCGGAATATATTGAGTTCCTTCTGTACAAAGCATGTAAACGGACGTCGTCTGAGATTGCTATTGTTGTTCAAATAGGTAATAACATTACTTGTGTCTCTCAATCTTCTTCTCCCAGTAATTGGGTTATTGATTTAGGAGCGTTTGATCATATTTCTGGTAATAAATCAACTTTCACTACTATTTCCTATTCTCAATCCCTTCCAACGGTCGCAATAGCCAATGAGTCTCAAACCATGACAACTGGAATAGGTCAAGCAAGTCCACTTCCTTCATTGCCTTTGAATTCAGTTATTTATGTCCCTGGTAGTCCTTTTGATCTCATAGCCGTTAGTAACTTAGCCAAATCACTTAAATGCCTCTGTTTTATTTCTTGATGACTTTGTTTTTATACAGCAACACAGTACGAGGCGGATCATTGGTACCGGGCGTGAATCAAATGGACTTTATTAGCTTATCCTTGCTAAATCACATGAACCTACATCAACAATTTTTTCTGGTTACTGATTCACCAGATTTATTACATAAACGATTGGGAGATTCCAATTTATCAAAACTTCAGAAAATGATTCCTGTTTTATCTCACTTGTCCACTCTAGAGTGTGAGTTATGTCAGCTCGGTAAGCATATTCGCTCCAAATTTCCTCGATGTCCTGATAATCAGGCAAAGTCACCTTTCAATTTAGTCCATTCAGATGTTTGGGGTCGTAGTCGGTTCAATCCTACCTTGGGATTTCGCTACTTTGTCAGTTTCATTGATGATTATTCCAGGTTCACTTGGATATTCTTGATGAAAAATCGATCTGAGTTGTTTTCCATTTTTTAGACCTTCCAAGCTGAAATCCAAAATCAATTTAGGGTTTCTATCCGCACATTTCATAGTGATTGCCTCAGAATATGTGTCTTCTCCATTTCAGCAGTTTATGAACTCTCATGGGATCATTCATCAAATATATTATCCACACACATCTCAACAAAATGGGGTAACAGAAAGGAAGAATAGGCATCTCATTGAGACTGCTCGTATCCTACTCATACAATCTCATGTTCCGTTGCGTTTTCTGGGGGATGCAGTTCTCATATCTTGTTATATTATTAATTGTATGTCATCCTCAGCTATCCAGAATCAAGTTCCACTCTCTGTGTTGTTTCCTCACGCACCCTTGTTCTCTCTTCCGCCTCGTGTCTTTGGGGGCACATGTTTTATTCATAACCTTACTACATTGAAAGATAAGTTAGCTTCTCGTACTCTTAAGTGTGTATTCTAGGTTACTCGAGAATGCAAAAGGGATATCGATGCTACTCACTTGACCTCAGGCGGTACCTTATGTCCGATGATGTTACCTTTTTTTAAACTCACCCCTACCTCACAGGCCTAGGTGATCACTTAGATATTTATGAGGTGCTAAGAATTCCATCTTTTGGAGATTTAGTCACTATCTCCCTTCACCTTCACGGCTCCATCACCTACAGCTCCAACTTTAGCTCCAGCTCCACCACCTATAGCTCTTCCTACATCCTAACCACAGAAGTCTTACCCATGCCAACCATTAAGGAATCTAGTGTTGCTCCTCCTAGATCCCCAGCCACAAGAACACCACTCTTGACTTATCGTTGTCGTCCGCGCCCAGCATCAGGCCCAGCTGATTCACGTCCTGCACCTGACCTTGCTTTCACTATGGGCTTGCCTCCTCCTGGTCCATCGATTGCACTTCGGAAAGGTATACGGTCCACACTTAATTCTAATCCCCATTATATTGGTTTAAGTTATCATCGTCTGTCATCACCTATTATGCGTTTGTATTATCTTTGTCCTCTGTTTCCATCCCTAAGTCTACAGGTGAAGCACTATCTCATCCAGGATGTCGAAATACTATGATCGACGAGATGTCTGCTTTACATACGAGCGATACTTGGGAGCTTGTTCATCTTCCTTCGGGTAAATCTACTATTGGTTGTCGTTGGGTGTGTGCAATCAAAGTTGGTCTAGATGGCTAAGATGGTTTACTTAAGGCTCGTCTTGTTGCCAAAGGGTATACTCAGATATTTGGGCTCGATTATAGTGATACTTTCTCTCATGTGGCTAAAATAGCACCAGTCAGCCTTTTTCTAGCCGTGGTTGTTGTTTGCCATTGGCCTCCCTATCAGTTGGACATTAAGAAGGTTTTTCTTCACGGTGACCTTGAGGAGAAGTTTATATGGAGCAACCACCTGATTTTGTTACTCAGGGGGAGTCTAGTGGCCTTGTATGTCGGTTGCGTCGGTCCCTCTATGGTCTAAAGCAGTCTCCTCGAGCCTGGTTTGGTAAGATCAGTATAATTATTCAGGAGATTGGCATGACTCATAGTGAAGCTGATCACTCTGTGTTTTATTGGCATTCTGCTTCATATCTATGTATTTATCTAGTGGTTTATATTTATTGTTATTATCGGCAATGATCAGGATGATATTAATATGTTGAAGGAAAATCTCTTTCAGCACTTTCAGACTAAGGATCTGGGCAGATTAAAGTACTTTCTGGGTATTGAGGTCGCTCAGTCTAACTCAGATGTTGTGATTACAACGGAAGTATGCCTTGGACATTCTTGAGGAGACAAGAATGACGGGTTGTAGACCTGTTGACACTCCTATGATTCCGAATTTTAAACTTTTGCCAGGCCTGGGGGAGCCACTTAGCAATCCTGCAAGATATAGGTGGTTGGTTGGTAAATTAAATTACCTCATAGTGACTAGACTTGATATATCTTTTCTTGTTAGTGTTATGAGTAAGTTTATGGATTCTCCATGTGAAAATCATTAAGATGCAGTTGTCCGCATTCTTCGATATATGACATCAGCTCTAGGCAAAGGATTGTTGTTTGAGCATCGAGGCTATGAGCAAATCGTTGGATACTTAGATGCTGATTGGGCAGGATCACCTTCTGATAGCCGTTCTACGTCTGGATATTGTGTTTTAGTAGGAGGTAATTTGGTGTCTTAGAAGAGCAAGAAACAAAATGTGGTTGCTCGGTCTAACGTAGAAGCAGAATATCAAGCAATGACTATGGCAACATATGAGCTAGTTTGGATCAAACAGTTGCTCAAGGAGTTGAATTTTGGTGAGATCAGCCAGATGGAACTTGTGTGTGATAATCAAGCTGCCCTTCATATTGCATCGAATCCGGTGTTCCATGAGAGAACTAAACACATTGAGATTGACTGTCACTTCGTCAGAAAAAAGATACTCTCAAGAGATATTGCTACAAAGTTTGTGAAGTCGATTGATCAGCTTGCAGATATTTTCACCAAGTCCCTCACTGGTCCTCGTATTAGTTACATATGTAACAAGCTCGGTACATATCATTTGTATGCACTGGCTTGAGGGGGAGCGTTAGATAATTATGTAATTAGTCTGAGTCCCACATTGAATAGGAGTAAAATATGTATTATGTATAGTTATAAACAGGGCTCGTTGTATTTTTATTAAGACATCAATAATATATATTTTTTCCGATGCTTTCTCTCTCTCTCACACAAACACACACCCACATACATACACGCTTTCTGAATTGTATTTTTTACTTGGTCCAGTCATTTGGAGTACTATGTGAAGCTCAGTACTTTCAGAATGTCATGCGTGTTGGTTTCAGGATGAGATCGACTCTGGTATGATCTTTCTCAAAACTACAGTGCATGTCCTATTGTTATTTTTGGATTTCTCCTCCAGTGGCTTCTGCTTTTAATTAATTCGATACAACTTAAGCACACTGCCTCACATGATTAATTCCCTATAATGTTTGCTTTTACCTTGTTCTTTTCTTTATTGCAAAGGTAAATCATGATAAAACCAATTTCTTTTTTTTTTCCTTCTTTTTTGTACAATAGTTTTGATGATCACATGCTCCCTCCATCCCTTTATGTAATGATGTTTGAATGAGCACGGAGTTTTGAAAGAAAGAAAGACTTTTGAAAGTTGTCGTCTAAAACAAGGCATAGCTATTTGTTGGCTATACATCATCGCATTAAGGGTGAAATGGGAAGTTTAAAGTTAAATTGTTTCTAGATATAGAAAGTTTTTGCACGTTTCCACAACTTTGCGGTTATGGCTTTAAACACTATACAACACAAAGTTTTGCTCTTTAGTGAACGTAGAGTAAAAAATATAGCAAAAGACGAAACTTTAGTATACTTAGTTCGAAATCATACTTTTTGTGGAGACAAAAGATATGTCATTCACCTTTCACCTTTTCTGCAAACACATTATCAGCTGATGTCCTTATTCGCCTGTTATTCTTTTTCATTTTATATGGTGAATGAATATTCACTATGACAATTAGAAGCCGTTTCTGACTTTGAAGAAACTACCCATAAAATATTAAGCTGTCTATCTTTAATTGTGTAGAGGATGGCATCAAATTGTTTTGTAAGTCTTGCAAGTTGACTTAACGGAAGTCGTGTATTTTATTGCATTTAGGTGGCTGCCATATTCCGCAAATCTGTAAGATTAACACTTGAGGGCCGTAAGCAGTTTCCCTCTGGAAAAATTACAAATATGATCACAACTGATGCTAATGCACTTCAGGTATGCTTGGAGCAACAATATCTTATGTCTTGATCCCTGCCTTTTAAAGTGTATAGTGATCCCTGCCTTTTAAAGTGTATAGTGGTGCAACATGATAGAAACATTTAGATAAGGCATGAAAGTAAGATTCATTTACTAGTAATTAAGTGTGAGACCATACAGTCAAAAATATGATTGGCAGCAGAGATAAGTTCACAATTAATATTCGACTAAATTTTCTATGTTGAAAGTGAACAAGTGCTCCCTATATCCCATTTTCTCTTATGCTTTCTATCTGGGAACATCACAAATGTCCAACACTTCTAAAGTACAAGCATTCCCTGCAAGTTTCACAAGTTTCAAGAATTGAAATTCATTTAGCAAATAGCAATTCAGTATTATATATGATTTGCGTTTTCTCTATCACATATATTGTTCAACAGCTATTTTACTATTGTTCCTTACACAAGTCAAAGTATCCGTTAGTCTCAGCAACCAGTCAATGATTTAATATTTGGATGCTCACACCTCTCCAATGTTTAAACTTACTCTTACAGTGATCGATGCTATAATATCTTCTATCAAGTTTCACTAGACAGTGTTGAGAGGAATCCATTAAATGATAGATTCGCCTTATATAACATCTGGAATGATGGATTATAATATGGAAGAGATGCCTCCTCCAAATGGTTTATTAGCAAATAATGAAACCCAAGTGTCTTAGATGCAGTACACTAGATCTGTAACTTTTGAGTAAAAGCATTCTTCAAATGGTATATCAGCAGTAACACTAGTAGCTTTTCACTATCTATGTAGGATCTTAGACAAGATTGTATGACTACTTATTTCAAATTCAGTATATATGACTAGCAAAATCGGTGGCTTTTTCATAGTGGTTATCACTTTGTGTTGATAACGGCTAATATGATTCTTAATTTGTTCAGCAAGTATGCCAACAGCTTCATGTTCTATGGTCAGCTCCATTTCGTATTGTCATCGCCATGGTTCTACTTTACCAGCAGCTAGGTCTGGCTTCACTTCTTGGTGCTCTAATGCTAGTATTTATGATCCCAATGCAGGTAAATAAAGATCTATTCGTCCTCCAAGTCTGAATTATTTTTGGCAATAAGTGGCTTCATTATCTAATCTTTACTTAAAATGGCTTTTCACAGTGGTGCTTATTAATACTATTTTCCTGCTATAGTCTTGCTACTACCCTTCTTGCATTATTTAATATTGAAACCAAAAGTCATCTTTTGTTTGCACATTGGCAAAATTTGATGAAAGATCGTGCTAGAAGAAAGTAGTACTGATAAGAAGAGGACAGCTTCATCTCTCTAAACCAAAATTCCGCTGAATGAATCATATTTTTCTGATCTTGTTGGAAATACATCAAAGGGATATCATTAGATGGACAATTTGTCACGCCCCGAACCTGGGCCTGGACGTAACACGGCACTCGGTGCTTAACTACATGTGACCGAGCGAACCAACTGGCTGGCTGAATCAACATGTGATATCATAACATACTGAAAGCAGAAGATAAACTAACACATGCTGATATACTGAAAGTCTGGATGATATAAATCAAAGTGCGGAAATACTAAAACAAATCTGAAACATTTATGTAGCTAACATTGCTTAACATGAAAAGCCTGAGACTCTGTCTAACTGTTGCTCTACTTTATGAAGCCTCTAATGAATTACTGAAAACACTGACTGCCCGTAAATACTGAAGACTGTAAGATAATGATGATGCCCTGAAGGAATTGGGATCACCAAATAGCTGGTACGAGAATCCTAGCACTCGAAATCATCAACCTGTAAATCATTACCTGCATTGTGAGATGCAGGCCCCGGGCAAAAGGGACGTCAGTACATTTGAATTGTACTGGTATGTAAAGCAACTGAAAGAAAGAATTATAACTGCTGAAACTGAAACTAAGCTGGTAACCGAGAATTTATAAATTGATAACTGAAATGTTACCTATTGAAACTGAAATTGAAGTGATAACTGAGAAGATAACTGATAACTGATCTGATAACTGAAAAGATAACTGATAACTGATAACTGAACTGAATAAAGGAAGTAAGGATATGAATACTCCCTCTTCTGAATGATGAACAACCTGTTTATCTGAATATTAAACTGCGGCCTCAGGCCCAATATATATATGTGCACAACTGCGGCCTCGGGCCCAAGCATACGTATACATAACTACGACCTCAGGTCCAAAATGCATAAAGCATAAACTGCGGCCTCAGGCCCAAAGACAGGTGTTCAACATTCAGGAACTGAGAATCATACCGAAATACATGATGTTGAAATACTGAATCATACTGAGTTACATGATACTTGAATGCTGAATCACACTGAGTTACATAATACTGAGTAGGACTGGACTGAGACATATATTGTTGAACTTATTATGAACACTGAAACTTTAACTGTTTATGATATGTTGAGTAAGCTATACTGAGACTCAGGGACATCAAACCCAAGTCTATATTGAATACGAACTGAGCTCACAACGTTCAGAATGAAAGTCATGAACGAGTTATGAAGCTAGAGAATACAAGTTCAGCAACTATTCAAGGAATTAGGCTTAACTATATTTGCGAGGCAATTGGTAACGTCGTAAAAGAAACGTAGTGTAGGGAGAATCATTAAAATTCCCAAACATAGAGAGTTAGCCTCACATACCTTAACTTCCTGCTCTTGAGCGTAATACAACATTCGCCAACCCTTTCAACTTTAATCTATATCAATACAAGTCAAAAGGGATTCCATATTAGCATAAATTCTCATGTTTTAGTCACTTAAACATTTTCTCAAACACTTGGTGACATAAAGCTTCATGGTCCTTATTAATGGTGTTTCTACACCCAACAAGCCTCTTGATCCTAGATAAATTCTAAAGTCTCAAATGGTTATAATCAACATTATTCTTCATCACCCATATGGTAAACAACACTCTTAACCAATAATCAACACTCAACACCCCAACCCTATAATCGTTCATGCTTTTCTATCAAACCCATCAACTCATATCTCATGCACTAGGGTTTATAATCATCAAACCAATGCTAGAATCAATTAGAGGGTGAAGATATTACCTTTTTGACGTTCAATCTCCTTGAATTCGAGTTCTAGAGTTCCTTCTCTCAACAACGATGTCCCAATCGAATATCTAATGATATGGAGGGTTTACCCATGTTAATAAGATGTTGGAAAATTGAAATTAACTTAGAATCACCATTAGAACTTACCTTGGATGGTGGAAGGACCCTTAAGGAGTTAGGTTTTTGAGAGTTCCCCTTTCTAGAGCAAGTTTTTATGTTTTGGGGTTGTGGGGGACAAAATATAGCTTTAAAACGACCCCCCACTAGCGCGCTCACGCACCTGGAGGCTTGCTCGCGCTACTGATCGCGCTAAACGGCAGTAACACTGCCTCAAAATTAGCGCGTTCGCGCTAATGGGCGCGCTACCGGGCGCGCATACTCGTACTGTTCCGTAAAACGCACATAACTTTTTGCACAGAGAACCGTTCGGGCTCCATAATATATCGTTGGAAAGCTATTTCAAAGGCCTACAACTTTCGTGCTTTGCGTTTTCCCCAATTCCTTACACATTTTCACTAAAACTTGATGGAAGACAGACCTTCTGCAAACTTAGTCGATTTTGTCAAATCTTATGCACCTCACTTTCCATCTTAATTTTGAAACAACTATTCCACCCATAATCATCCCGATGGGACTTCACACGTCCAAAATATAACCTTACTACTCCTTTAGCTCATTCATACCTAGGTCGAATTTACGGGTTGTTACACAATTCTCTTAATTTCTATGCTTATTTTGTTGTAGCCTATTTATTCTTTTTTGATAGTGAAGGTTCCAAATTACAAGCATAGTCACCAATGGCTTGCCACCATGTACACAACTAGATAAAAGAGACTCTAAACGGTGAGAAAACCAATGTTATAAACAGTATTTGAGTTATGTAAAGTCCTACATTGGGTAAGGGCACCTAAGGGGGTTTATACATGTCTCAGTTACTCCACTCATTACCTTAAGGTTCTGAGTTAGATGCTTAAATTCTGGTATCAACAAAGCTATAGTTAAGGTGCACGAGGTCTTACCATTTGGCTTTTGGTACTCTGTATCTGGCAGGAATATTCAATTTCACCAGGTTCATATCGGAGAGGATTGGTTTTTCAATAGGGAAAGAGATAGGGTCGAGGGAGTTGGTTGTAATTGAGACACGTTTTTCGGATGGACTACATCAATTTTTCAGCCATGAGAGGGAAATCATCTAGTACCCGCTGGCTCCCCAATCTTTGGCATGTTTATTCTCACACTTGTAAATTTGCATTAGCTTAAATTTCTTCTCCTACTCCAAACGTTTCAGTCTTCGGGATGGCAGACTTTTGTGAATTGCTCACCTTTATGATTTATGCTACTCCACTCCAAGCAGCAGTGTCACAACCCAATTTTGGGCCATGACCATTGACCAGCGCTAAGTGAAGCTTGGCTCACCTAGAAAGTCTACACATTTCCATGACAAGAATCCGGCTGAGTGTCCTCTGTATCGGGAGCATTCCAAAAATTCCTTTATCAACCAACCAAACATCCCAACTCTTATAATGTTGCAAGCATCTTCATTCACAAACTAAAGATACCAAAACTTTCATGACCCAAAATCCAACCCGCGTGACTAGCACTCAGCATCCCCATGTCGAGCAAACCACAAAATAAACAACACTAGTCGCAAACCAAAATGACACCAAGTCTAATGAAATGTCAGACACATAAATATAGAATCTGTTAAATCATATTACAACGTGGAAGCCAAATTATGAGCTTCTAAGAGTAGAATAAATACAACAATTATGGTGTATGATGTGGCATATGCTCAAAGTTGACTGGGTAATACTTTGCTGGTAAAGACACGCTATCTTGGAGAAAGTAGAGGCTGGGAAGTAGAGCATAGAAGTAGAGCTTTACATTTTTCTAATTACATTTTTGGAACACCCTATAAGTGTAAATTATAGGGTGTTTTTCATTGCAAATCATGTTTTTTGTATGAGATACTATTCTTCTTTATACATCTTATATGCACGTATTTCCCTTTTCAATCAATAAATTTGATTACTTCATGAAAAAAGTTCACACAGCACTACTAAATTATAGATCAGAAACTTGATTTTTATTACTTAATCTTAGTCATTTCAAATTTCTATCAAGCAGTACAGCGCTATGCAATTTCCTTGTTCAACTAATCTCTAAAACATATGTGTTTATCCTTTTGGCGCAGACGATTATTGTAAGCAATATGCGAAAACTATCTAAAGAAGGATTGCAACATACTGACAAAAGGGTTGGTCTAACTAATGAATTACTTGCTGCAATGGATGTAGTAAAGTATGATTCTTTCCACTTTATCTGTATTCCTTCTTTTTCAGAAAATTTGAGAATGGATTTGATTTTGTACTGATCGATATAGATGTTATGCATGGGAGAAGAGCTTCCAATCTAAAGTCCAAGGAATGAGGAATGATGAGCTATCTTGGTTCAGGAAAGCACAGCTTTTGGCAGCGGTATGCTATCGCTTGTGCATAGAATAAACTAATCTTGGTCTCAACAAAGTCTTTTTCTATTATAGTGACACCTCAGTATTTGGTCCCTTACATACCTCATGTTTTTGTTGGAATAATATGATCCAGTCATTTCCAAGCTTTTCCAGAAAGCCTGATCAAGCTTTAAGAGAATTCTAACTTTGAAGATTTTTACATAAAATTTTCCTGTCTAGGTCAGTTTAATTAGACACTTCTGGAGCTATATCCACAGGCCACAGAATCAGCACAAACCAAAACTGGAATCAACTAGTGGGTTAGCATGTGAAAAATAGGACGTGGTTGAGGAACAATGAACCAGGATTATCTCTTCGTAGGATTAGGTTTTTCATTATGATGGCGTGACATGTTTTCTGCGTAATGATAGGAAACCATGACTCAAATGACATTGCATATTTTGTTTAAGATGCAAGAATCGGATCATTTTTTGCTCATTGTTTTTTTTCTTCCCTTTATCAACAGTTCAACAATTTCATGCTGAACAGCATCCCAGTTCTCGTAACAGTGATTTCATTTGGAGCTTTCACTTTGCTTGGTGGAAACTTGACAGCTGCCAGAGCTTTTACATCACTTTCCCTCTTTGCAATTCTGAGGTTCCCGCTGAACATGCTTCCGAACATAATAACTCAGGTTCTTATTCTTAGCTTACTGTTTTTGACCTTCCTTATAAAATAGCTACATTGGGTTCTTTCACTTAATACGGTATTCTTCATACGTATGTTTAATTCTGGATGCACTATATTCTCCCATCTCTCTCGTGAATCAGCCTAAACATCACTTCAAGTTATTCCCTCTGTGTTTTGTCTACAGCAATTAGCTAACATTACCCACCGTGAAAAGAAGATAACGAACAACAATACTCATCTTTATTGAGAAATACACCACATAGGTAAATAGACATCAGTAGCGCAGACTTCTACATGGAACTCCTATATCATCTAAACTGCTTCTTTGATATCAATGTCATATAAACAATGAGGAAAAAGTTCTTGAAGAATGTGTGCAAGTGTCTGTTGACCGACTTGTTATGTACTTCTGCAGAAGTGGAAGACAATATTATAATTGAATAGACACAATTTCAAGCCTGACAAAGTATTATCATTTTCTACCTATTGCATTCATTGTTAAGGCTTCAAGCCTTGAAGCTGGGTGGCTCATCCATTAGACAATTTATGCTAATATGATTCTTTTCAAATACATCAATTTAGTGGATCTAGGTTACCTAACTTAGATCACAAACTTATGACTGCGTTGTCATACTAGTCTAAATGTTGTGTGTAAATTAACATTTCAAGTTGCTGACATTTGAAGAACAAATGCATGCTAACAAGTTGCATATTATAGTTCTATTTGAAGATTAGGTGCTTTATATTGTCTGTCTTCTTTCATTTTGACTCCACTCTGTACATTCCTTCCCCGATTCAAGCATTCTCTAGAAGTTCTTCTTTAACTCTGGGAAGAGTTTTCCTGTCGCTGTGAAAACTCCATCTGAAAGGTTTCGATAAAAACTGCTAATGATCACACGAAAATGTGGCCGACCATCTAGGGATTATAGTGGGCTCGCTCGTCATAATACACACTTATGGGATCACCTATGTTGCGCGGACTCTCCAAAATGATGCCGCACCCGTGTCGAATCCTCCAAAAATACACCATTTTTGGAGGATCTGACACGCACCCGGCAACATTTTCGGAGAGTCGAGCAACATAGGGGATAACATATGACAATTTGGTAAAGTATCCTACCAAGACTCTCGAGAGCCCTCTTTCTCCCTTTCTTTATTTAACAAACAATTGAATGAATCGGTGCTGCGGGTATGTCCACACATCGATCTCAATGTCTTCATTTCAGCTACTTTCATCTTCAGGACATGGGACTTCTTGACGGGCCAACACTCAGCCCTATACAACATAGTCGGCCTAACCACCACTCTGTAGAACTTGCCTTTAAGTCTAGGTGGCATATTTTTATCACACAAAACCCCATTTCATCTACTCTGCTCCAATTCGGTGAGTAACATCCTCGTCAATCTCCCTGGTGCCTTGTATTAAGACCCAAGGTATTCAAAACTATCTCTCTTGGGATGACTTGTGTATCAATTTTCACTTCCACTTCTGCTTTGTGCGTCTCATCACTAAACTTACACTCCAAGTATTCACACACTTGATATTATTTCTTCTGTTTTACATACAGGTTGTAAATTCAAACGTATCGCTGCAACGATTGGAGGAGTTGTTCTTAGCTGAAGAGAGAATCCTCTTACCTAATCCACCACTTGAACCTTGTCTTCCTGCCATCTCAATCAGGGACGGATACTTTTCATGGGATTTTAAGGTCTACCTCTTCTTTATCTCTCTGTAACACTTCACTAAGCTTTCGGACAAGTAGTCTTTTACTTATTACTTAACTGTGATTGCAATAGTTATAAGCAGCTAATTATCATCATTTGATATTTTCTAAACAGAGTGTCTCTTGTAGCTCAAGACTACGCTGATCTAGAATATTGTGTTAATGCACCGAAGGACCTGGAAACTATAGCATATCTCTAATGCTTTCTTTGAAATGCATTTCAATTGTATGCATATCGATGATTATTTTAAAACTTTTAAAAATCATTAAAGTATCATGATCCATGCTGAGCAGAATCTCTCTAGTGTAGCAAACGCATGAGAATCCAATTAGTGGAATAATTTGAAAAGCTTGATATCTATTAATTCAGTTGTTTGGTTTAGAATACCGGAGCACTAAAAGTATGTGAAATTGAAAGATGTCCCTGAACCTTCACGGATGGGAGAAGAGAAGGCGTTTTTGATTTTTCTATGATCCATTTTCTCATTAGTTATTGCCTTTTACAATTTATGCAGTAAGATTTAAAAAAAAAAATACACAGCACTAGTTCTTTTACTAAAACATTCTGAACTGTGTGTGAATAATGTGAAGAAATGTGTGAAACAAGATTAAGCAAGTTAATGGACAAGGGAACAGACGTCGGTTGTTTTGATTACGTGAGAAAGCACGGGAGAAAAATATCATTAATTGCTTAATTAAAGTGTTGTACAACCCTGTTTATATTCAGTGATTACATAATAATAGGTATCTACTTCCCGATGTGGAACACTATACATGACTAACTACTTAACACTCCCCCTCAAGCCGGTGCATATAAATCATATATACCTAGCTTGTTATAGATGTAACTAAATGAGAACCAGTAAGAGACTTAGTGAAAATATTTAGCTGTTCGACTTCACAAACTTTGTAACAATATCTCGTGAGAGTATCTTTTCTCTAACAAAGTGACAGTCGATCTCAATGTGTTTAGTCCTCTCATGGAACACCGGATTTAACGCAATATGAAGAGCAGCTTGATTATCACACACCAGTTCCATCTTGCTGATTTCTCCGAACTTCAACTCCTTGAGCAACTGCTTGACCCAAACTAGCTCACACGTTGCCATAGCCATGGCCCGATATTCGGCTTCAGCGCTAGACCAAGCAACTACATTCTGTTTCTTGCTCTTCTAAGAGACCAAATTACCTCCTACTAGAACACAATATCCAGACGTAGAACGTCTATCAGAAAGTTATCCTGCCCAATAAGCATCAGTGTACCCAACAATCTGCTTGTGGCCTCGATCCTTGAATAGTAACCCTTTGTCTGGAGTTGACTTTATATACCGAAGAATGCCATCAACTGCATCCCAGTGACTATCACAGGAAGAATCCATTAACTGACTTACAACACTAAGCGGAAAAGAAATGTCAGGTCTAGTCATTGTGAGGTAATTCAATTTGCCAACCAACCTCCTATATCTCGTAGGATCTCTAAGAGGCTCCCCCTGTCCAGGCAGAAGCTTAGCATTCGGATCTATAGTAGTGTCAACAAGTCTACAGCCAATCATTCCAGTCTCCTCAAGAATGTCTAAGGCATACTTCCGCTGTGAAATAACAATACCCGAGCTAGACTGAGCGACCTCAATACCTAGAAAATACTTCAATCTGCCTAGAGATCCTTAGACTGGAAGTGCTGAAAGAGTTGTTGCTTCAGATTAGTAATACCATCTTGATCATTGCCAATAATAACAATATCATCAACATAAACCACCAGATAAATACACATTTTAGGAGCAGAATGCCGATAAAACACAGGGTGATCAGCTTTACTACAACATGCCGAACTCCCGAATAACTGTGCTGAACTTACCAAACCAAGCTCGGGGAGACTATTTCAAACCATACAGTGACCTGCGCAATCGGCATACAAGACCACTAGACTCCCCCTGAGCAATAAAACCAGGTGGTTGCTCCATATAAACTTCTTCCTCAAGATCACCATGGAGAAAAGCATTCTTAATGTCTAACTGATAAAGAGGCCAATGACATACAACAACCGTGGACAAAAAAAGACGGACAAATGCTACTTTAGCCACGGGAGAGAAAGTGTCACCATAATCAAGACCAAAAATCTGAGTGTATCCTTTTGCAACAAGACGAGCCTTAAGCCGATCAACCTGGCCATCCGGGCCAACTTTGACAGCATAAACCCAACAACAACCAACAATAGACTTACCTGAAGGAAGAGGAACGAGCTCCCAAGTGCCACTTGCATGTAAAGCAGACATCTCCTCAATCATAGCCTGTCGCCATCTTGGATGAGATAGTGCCTCACCTGTACACTTAGGGATAGAAACAGTGGACAAAGATGATATAAAAGCATAATGAGGTGATGACAGACGATGATAACTCAAACCGACATAATGGGGATTAGGATTAAGTGTGCATCGTACACCTTTGCAGAGTGCAATTAGTTGACTAAGAGGAGACAAGTCCACAGTAGGTGCAGAATCTGATGCAGGACGTGAATCACCTGGGACTGATGTTGGATGTGAACGACTATGATAAGTCAAGAGTGGTGGAGCTGCAGAAGGTTGAACTGGACTAGGTGGTGGAACTAGAGCTATAAGTGGTGAAACTGGTAGCACCTCAGAAATATCTAAGTGATTACCTGGACCTATGAAGTATGAATGGGTTTCAAAGAAGGTAACATCAACAGACATAAGGTACCGTTGGAGGTCAGGATAATAGCATCGATACCCCTTTTGCGTTCTCGAGTAACCCTGAAATACGCACTTAAGAGCACGAGCTAACTTATCTTTTCCTAGAGTAAGGTTATGAACAAAACACGTGCTTCCAAAGACACGAGGTGGAAGAGAGAACAAAGGTAAGTGGAGAAACATGACAGAGAATGGAACTTGATTCTGGATAGCTGAAGATGGCATACGATTAATAAGATAGCAAGATGTAAGAACTGCATCCCTCCAAAAATGCAATATGAGTAGGGTATGAGCAGTTTCAATAAGATGCCTATTCTTTCTTTCAGCTACCCTATTTTGTTAAGATGTGTACGGACAAGATGTTTGATGAATAATCCCATGAGAGTTCATAAACTGCTGAAATGGGGAAGACAAATACTCTAGGGCATTATCACTACAAAATGTGCGGATAGAAACCCCAAATTGATTTTGAATTTCAGCGTGGAAGGTCTGGAAAATAGAAAACAACTTAGACCGATTTTTCATCAAAAATATCCAAGTGCACCTGGAATAATCATCAATGAAATTGACAAAGTAGCGGAATCCCAATGTAGAACTGACCCGACTAGGACCCATACATCTGAATGGATTAAAGTGAAAGGTGACTCTGCTCGATTATCAAGACGCCGAGGGAAATGGGAGCGGGTATGCTTACCGAGCTGACATGACTCGTACTCTAGAGAGTGGACAAATGAGATAAACTAGGTACCATTTTCTAAAGTTTTGACAAACTGGATGTCCCAACCTCTTATGTAATAAATCTGGTGAACCGGTGACAAGACAAGTTATTGAAGGAAGACAAGATGTGAGTCCATGTAATTTTGCAAGGATAAGGTAATAAAGTCCATCTGATTCACGCCCAATACCAATGATCCGCCCCGTACTGCATTCCTGTATAAAAATAAGGTCATCAAGAAATAAAATAGTGCATTTAAGTGATTTGGCTAAGCGACTAACGGCTATGAGATTAAAAAGACTCTTGGGAACATAAAGAACTGAAACTAAAGGTAAGGAAGGAAGTAGGCTTGCTTGAGCTATTGCAGTTGCCATGGTTTGAATCCCATTGGCCATTGTGACTGTTGGAAGAGATTAAGAATACGAAAAACTAGTGAAAAGAGATTTGTTACCAGAAATATGATCAGATGCACCTAAATCAATGACCCAAGACTCTGAAGTTGAAGATTGGGAGACACAAGTCACACTACTAACTGTTTGAACAACGGAAGCTATCCTTGAAGATGTCTGTTTACATGCTTTGTACTGAAGGAACTCAATATAATCTGGTAAAGAAACCATCTTGATTGGAATCGATGCATTGGATCCAACGGATTGTGAGTTAAACGCTTCAGATACGAATGCCATTATAATGTTGCACCGGAAAAAGCTGATTTTTTCTGAAAATTATTGTTCGCGTCGGAAAAATATAAAAGTGGTCGGAATTTGATTTAAATTGGATGGGTAGGCTCAGAATTACAAGGGGAACAAGCTATTCTGAAGAGTCGTCGCCAAAAAATGGCCGGAAAGTGCCCCACGCGCCGGCACATGACGTCGGAACTTCGCCGGAATTTTTTTTCGAGCGGCGCGTGGGAGCGCGTGGAGGGTTTTCTGACTGAGATTTTTTTATGGGTTGGTCGCCGGAGGCCGATCTACTTCGTGGTGGTGTTGGTTTTTACACAACACTGACGAAAAGTGGATTTTTAGTTGCGGCAGACCTGTGTTTACCGGAAAAGACTTCCGGTTGACTGATTTCTCTTCCCGGAGTTGTTGGAATTTATGCACAGCGATAAATCTCTCACGATTGCTCGTATACCATGTGATAAAGCACGGGAGAAAAATATTATTAATTGCTTAATTGAAGTGTTGTACAACCCTATTTATATACAGTGATTACATAATAATAGGTATCTACTTCCCGATGTGGGACACTATACATGACTAGCTATTTAACAGATTATTTCATCATTTGATTGGATTCTAGGACAATCTTAGTCTTCCAAATTAGATTTTGTCATTTGTTTCGACAGAGAAATATGTTTGCAGTTTGTTCCCTCACTGGTAGTCTTGTTTGGAAGAGGGGTTTATAATTTCACCTAAACTATTTGTTCTAGCACTGGTAATCTTGTTTGCTGGGGTTTTATAATTTCACCTAAGTTCCTTTATGAACCAAATGAGCTCTGTTCATTTTTATTTAGGCAGAAACTCATGAACGAATCAATGGCATCTTGTGGGAAGAGCTTTGCCTATGCAAAAGGTTCCAGTCCTTTATTTCATCTTCCACCTCATTGAAATTTTCTAGACTTGCAACTGAATATGACTGAGGATGTCGTTAGTCAATTAAGTATTCCTTGCATGAATTTTCTAGTTTTGGATTTCCAGCTAACACTCGGTGGATAAAATAAGAATTTTGTGCTGCTTGTTAGCTGTAAAATTGAAAAGTGACCAAATCCGATTAGGCATAATTGTACAGCTGCTTGACAAATAAATAATATATATACTCCTTCCGTTTCAATTTATGTGAACCCATTTGACTGGGCACGGAGTTTAAGAAAAGAGAGAAGACTTTTGAACTTGTGGTGTAAAATGAAACACATATATTTTGTGTGGCTATAAATCATTGCATAAAGGTAAATTGTTTCCAAATAGGGAAAGAGGTCATTCTTTTTGGCACAGACTAAAAAGGAAATAGGTTCACATAAATTGAAACGGAGGGAGTATATATTTAAATTTCCTTAGAAAATGGAAGATACTTCATTACTGAAAGATAAAGAGTTTAGTCATTACAAACAAGGGAATGGATCGCATAGAGCTTGATCCTTATTGAAAGCATGTAAAATAAAAGGGGGAGGTGTGTCCCAGAACGCTGCATCGTCTGCTACCGAAGTGAGAAGAATCCAACTTCTTCCGTATCCAGCCAGCTTGTCAGCCACAGTATTGCCCTCCCTGAATATCTCGTCCAGTCCCACAGCATCAAGAAGAAAATTGCAATCATTAACAAGTTGTGAGTAGCTAGTAGTTTCTGTAAGAAATGCATAATACCTGGGAATCTGTTACCACTATTATAGGGAACAGATTTTGTGAAAGCAAGTTCCAATCCTACCAATAAAGCTAAAAGTGAGCAAATACAGAATTCAGCTATCAGTATCTCGAGTGCTCTTTCACATATTGTCACTCATCCTTTCCTTCCGCATTTACAAACGAATCTTTTTGTTTAGCCTATTCTATAAGGCATCTAAGTGATAAGAAAGTCAAATATATCCATAAAATGAGGAAAGATTGAAGTAAATCTGTGCTCTCTTGTGAGGTACAGAGAACTATATGAAGCTGGATTTGGATGTTGATACCTTACAATATGATAAATATTATTCCCTTGTGAAAGCTTGAATATGATTACTTACTAGGAAAACATTTTGTTGAAGACATAGTTAAGTAATTAAAAGTATGCTTTCTCTGACAACCTAAGCTTTTAGATGAGATGATCACACCATTCGACGTGGTATTAGAGCCATGCCCGTTCCAATTCTTGTTTAATTCGATGTTGGGCCCCCATATTATGTTGTCTACGCTCCAGTTAGCAGGCGTGCGGGGGTGTTAGTTGTCCCACATCCTTTGTGGGTTGGCAATTGGACTCTTTATATGGTCTTGGTCAATCCTCAGCTCATGAGCTAGCTTTTGGGACTAAGTTAGGTCTAAGGTCTATTTCTTTTATCACATTGATCTGAATTCCTCAAATGGAGCCTTTTCATTCATTCAGTTCCCTTGATAACTGTCATGAAGTTGGAGTTCTTTATTTTTCATTTTACCATTTTTACACATTCAATTTTAACCTCCTACTTTACAGCCTGAGCGTCCCACTTTGTCAAATATTAATTTGGATATACCAGTTGGTGAGCTAGTTGCAATTGTGGGTGGGACTGGAGAAGGAAAGACATCTCTGATTTCAGCAATTCTTGGGGAGCTTCCGCCCTTAGGCAATGCAAGTGTCACTACCAGAGGAACTATTGCATATGTTCCTCAAGTTTCTTGGATCTTCAATGCCACTGTGAGCTTCAATTCATCCAAATTCCTTGTTATGCCTGTAACATAACGCTGTTTACCTGAACATGCTATTCAAACAATCTTTATATATTTTTTGGATATAAATCGTGTTTGTGTATGTATATGTAAGAATGCAGTTACCTTTACCTTACTGGTTTTCAGGTACGTGGGAATATATTATTTGGTTCCAACTTTGAACCAACAAGATATTCGAAGGCAATAGCTGTCAGTGCATTGGACCATGATCTTGAGTTACTTCCAGTTAAGTACATTGATGGTAGTATATATTGTCAGTATATCTTTTTGTTGTGTGTAATTATCAATTAGTAGTAAGTCTAGATGAAAATGACATGTGCGCATATCTAAAATATTCAGGGTCGAGACCTTACAGAAATCGGCGAAAGAGGGGTGAATATTAGCGGAGGACAAAAGCAAAGAGTGTCAATGGCTAGGGCTGTCTACAAAAATTCTGATGTCTATATTTTTGATGATCCCCTAAGTGCTCTTGATGCACATGTGGGCCAGCAGGTAATTTTCTTGTATTAATGACTGTGCAACACCATTTTGGAAACGGAAAGAAGGTCTCAATACGCGGTTTCCGTATAAATATAGTTATTGTCATCATCCTCTTCTGTTAGCTGAATGATTTTCTTCTCATTTGAGCATATTAGCCATGCCATTCTCTGGGCTTTGTCCAATTACTAAGCACTTAATTGGTCCATATTGATCAACAGATATAGGATGAGGATTTGGAAGCAAAAGAGGAAAATGAGAAAATGGGTGGAAATGATGACATAGTGGATAGCCATCTGAGTTTGTGAAGTTCATAAAAAGTTTAGAATGTTTGACGTAACAAAAAAACCATTTTTGTTAGCATGATATACACTTGTAGTGAAGGCTTTGGAAAGAGAATAAATTGCTTAGACAGGGCATGCAACTGAAGGATGTTACTGAAGTATTACTAGTACTGCCCTAGCATAGTGTGATTGACATTACCAAGATACGATACTTACTAGGTACTATTCTGTGTATGCATCATCAACGCTGGTATAACTGCATCATCCTATCTACTAGCTAGTACTTCTTTGTGACTCACCAGACTACACCCTCTACTCAACTCAAAACGAATGTCACTGCATTATCTGAGAAACCTTCCTGTCAATTTCCGATTTTTCTTTTCCACCACCCAAGGATTTCTTTTTTTTTTTCTTTTTTCTAATTGAGAGAAGGTAAGTGTATTATAAATATAGCACCAAGAAGGTGCTGTAAAAAGTATCTACAAACTACCAGAAGTGCATCCCTTCTATTCTCCTTTGTCTTCAAAGCATCTAGCGTTTCTCTCCCTCCACTCTGTCCACCATATGCAGGCCGGAATAGTCTGCCAAACAAGAACAGTAATGTGAAGTGTAGAATAGGTGATTAACACTCTCTAGCTTGTCTCTATAAAGATAGCATTTAGAGCACAGCTGAAAACCTCTTCTTTGAATATTTATTATTTTCTGTGTTAAACAAGCATTTCGAGCAACCAACCAAGTGAAAGAAGCTACCTGGTAAAGAGCATTTGTTTTCCATATCTGTTTGCATGCCAAAAATTATCTTGCATTCTACCATAAACGCAACTGTGAATAACAAGAGTTTACTGTAAAGATTCCTTTGCTTTGGGCATTCCATATGAGCTTGTCTGGATTCTGTACCAATCCATGAAAAGATTCCAATGTACCCAAAAATGTCAGCTTGTCTTTCCAATTCCCAATCATTCAAATGTCTTCTGAAATTAAAAATCCAACCATCTTGTTTTCTGTTAGTAGCCAAAGTGGAATCATGTAGCAATGCAAGTCTAAATAAATCTGGAAACTGATCTTTCAATGGTCCATGTCCAATCCAATTTTCCCAAAAAGTGATCCTTCTTGCCTCTCCCACGTTAAACCCAATGTTACTTGAACATTTTTACCATAGAGTTCTGATGCTTTTCCCAGCCCCATAGGGAATGGTCACAACTTTAGTAATCCAACACCCTTGCAACCCAAAATTTTCACTGATAACTAACTGCTTTCCAAAGTGCCTATTCTTCTGAGGGAAACCTCAATAGCCATTTCATCAGTAAACTGTGATTGTGCTGCCTTAAGTTTCTAATCCCAAGGCCCACTTCCTTCTTGGTTATTTTTAATGTGCTCCTCTTGACCAAGTGAAATGTTCTTCATTCAGTATTGCCCTGCCAAAGAAATATCCATGGGTTTCTTCTTCCACCACCCATGGATTTTTCCAAATTGACTATCCATTTCCCCCCTATATACAGGACTAATTTGCAGTAACTTGATTGCTTAGTAGAATTCACTGGTTGCAATTATTCCATCCTTCTCTTTGCAGTTTGAAAGCATTCGCTAGATGCAATTTATTATCTAACTTGCTGTACAATGGGATCTTTCAGGTTTTTAAGAAATGTATAAAGGAAGAATTGCAAGGAAAGACTAGGGTGCTTGTGACAAATCAGCTGCATTTTCTACCTCAGGTGGATCGGATCATTTTGGTCTCTGAAGGAATGGTTAAAGAGGATGGGAGTTTCGAGGATCTCTCCAAAAATAGCGCACTTTTTCGAAAGCTAATGGAAAATTCTGGGAAAATGGAAAGTTATGGTGTTGAAACTGACGACCCAAACTTTGACTATGAGAGTTCACAATCTTCTTTAAACATAGGGCATGAGCTCCATAAGAATGAAACCTCTGTAACCAAAAGGAGAGCTGGTAAATCTGTTCTTATCAGGCAGGAAGAGCGGGAAACTGGTATTATCAACTGGAATGTCTTGATGAGGTAATATTCAAAGTATATGCTTCGAGACATTTACCCTTGTTATTTTTAACCAAGTCATTCATACATGAATATGCTGGTCATTCCACAAGTTAAGAGTCCTATTAACTTTTGCAGAACTTAACAAGCAAAATTTACTACACTTATAAAATACTTGTTCACATATCTATAGAAGAATTCTAGGCACAAAATTTTCTCATGCATCGCCTACGTTGTTCTCTTGCTTCTACTATGTTATGTAGATACTGGTGGGGAGAAAATTTTATTTTCTTGCAGTGCAATCACTTCTAACATCTAGGAAAATAATACTGCCTTTCATTTCTAGTGGTTTACTTTCTTGTTGGTTTAGTCAGTGCTCCGCATAAGCAAACACCACCTTATGGCTAGGCAATTCATGTCTAACAGAACAATCAAATTGCACCCTTACTGGAGCCTCATGCTCTGCCAAGGACAGTAGTTCCTCATTGATTAAATAAAAGTTCATAGAAAGAGTTATACAAATACTGTGCTACTCCAGACAGTGCCTTAAAATTTTGAGTTGGATGCATAGATATTTTCTTACGGCATTGGAGCCAAACATTGGCAAACTAGTTCGTTTTCCTTTTCTCTTTTACAAATATCAACATTCCTTTTTTTTTTCAAATAGCAACCATATGTAACCTAAAATTCGAACAATACCATCCTACTTAGAACAAAGAGTCGAACATGACTATGTTTATAATAGATTTAAGGAAGTTTTCATCAAGTCACCCGTGTAAAGTTATACTGCACTTGTTTAGATGGTATAAGAGTAACGGATAAACTCTTCAATGATTCATTCATCATCATAGGCTGAAGAAAAAATTCTTATTTAACTATGTTTGTTTAATAGAAGCCCTTAGCTTATGGTTTCAAATGTGCTTTTCTTCAATTTTCCTTTTCAGGTATAAAGATGCTTTGGGAGGCTTGTGGGTTGTCCTGATACTGTTTGCTTGCTACACATTAACTGAAATCCTTCGAGCTCTGAGTAGCACCTGGCTAAGTGTCTGGACAAAAGCAAGCTCCTCAAAGAGCAATGGATCTGGATTCTATATTTTGGTCTATGCTTTTCTGTCATTCAGTCAGGTGTGAGTGCACTTCCACCTTTATTAATTGCAATCATTGGTGATCATCCTTAATTATTCAAGTTGCTGTGCTGCATCTACTTTCTTTTCCCTCTATTCCTTAACATCTAAAGATGGCCACCTAGCCCTATCTAAACGAGAAATTTTCCTGCTACAGAACTTGTTTCAATAAGCATGAAGCCCAACAATATATTTGTGTATCAGGGAGCTCCTCCATTAGCTACAGTAGATTAGCTGTATCTGTTAAAAAGAAGACTAAAAATGAAAATAACAGAAATTCTTTGTAAATATTTCATTCTGTTTCTTCAGAGGAGTGTTTAACTCCAAGTCCATGAATGTAAATTAAAAGAGGCTTATTCTGGATTCACTTTGTGTAGGTGATAGTAACACTGGCCAATTCCTTCTTGTTGATTATCTCAAGCCTAAATGCAGCTAAAAGGCTTCATGATTCCATGCTACATTCTATACTTCGAGCACCAATGGTATTCTTCCACACTAATCCATCTGGACGCATAATCAACAGATTTGCAAAGGATCTTGGTGATATTGACCGCAATGTTGCAAATATTGCTAATACATGTCTCAGCCAACTGTGGCAGCTTCTCTCAACCTTCGTTCTCATTGGAGTCGTCAGCACAATATCTCTGTGGGCCATAATGCCACTTCTAGTCCTATTTTATACAGCCTATTTGTATTATCAGGTTTGCTAAACTCCATATGTTTAGTTGCCCTTTATTTTTCTCTCTCCCTCTGCATATAGTTTTCTCTGCTTGTCTTGACCTCCATTTTGGTTTTACTTTCTGGAACTTTCAGAACCCAAAGAGGGCTGAAAGTTCCACCATTTAGAGAAGCAGCACTTCCTATGAGTGTCTTAAGTTTTTAAATACCTGGCATCCTGTTTGAGTAATGTTTTGTTGAGTTTCCCATATTTAGGCTCCTTATATGGTCTTGGGCAATCCTCACCTCATGAGCTAACTCTTAGGTTTGAGTTAGGCCCAAGTTCCATTTCTTATCATGGTATAGAGCCAGATTCATCCCAATCATATGCATCATCCATGATAATTTATCAACTGTTGGTTTTACAATATTATATAATGAGGATCAGATGATACAATACTATTATATATGTTTCACAGAATACATCCCGCGAAGTGAAACGTCTAGATTCCATTACCAGGTCCCCTGTGTATGCACAGTTTGGAGAAGCTATCAATGGTTTATCAACCATCCGTGCATATAAAGCACATGACCAGTTAGCTGCCATTAATGGGAAGTCTATGGACAACAATATCAGATTCACTCTTGCCAACACAAGTACAAACCGCTGGCTGACCATAAGGCTTGAAGCACTAGGGGGCATAATGATCTGGTTGACTGCAACATTTGCCGTTATACAGAATGGGAGAGCAGACGACAAGGTTGCGGTTGCTGGTGCTATGGGTCTGCTCCTAAGTTATTCCTTGAATATTACTACTTTACTCAGCAATACTCTGAGACAAGCAAGCAGAGCTGAAAATAGTTTTAATGCTGTTGAGCGTGTTGGCACATATATAGATTTGCCATCAGAGGCTCAAAATGTCATTAGCAGCCGGCCTCCTCCAGGCTGGCCATCATCAGGGTTCATCAAATTTGAAGATGTTGTCCTACGTTACAGACCTGGACTTCCTCCAGTCTTGCATGGTTTGTCATTTACAATTTCCTCAGGTCAGAAAGTTGGCATTGTTGGAAGAACTGGTGCTGGAAAATCGAGCATGCTTAATGCCTTATTTCGTATTGTGGAACTTGAAAGAGGGAGAATATTGATCGATGGTTGTGATGTTGCTACTATCGGACTGACAGATCTTCGAAGTGCTCTTAGTATCATACCCCAATCACCAGTTCTTTTCTCTGGTACATGATTCTCTTCAGTTGTTTCTACTACTACTTCACTCTTCCAGACCCCACGATTGGCACGAGTTGAAAAGAATCTAATAAGCCCTTTGAATTGATGCATGCATACATCGATTTTGAATTTGTCTACTCAATCGGTTTGGAATTGTTTTATGAGCAATCATATGCGTTTATGCTAGCTGTGCTGATGAATGTGTACCCGATGTTCTTTTTTCATAGAAATTCACATGCTGTGGTAATTAATACATATATGGATAGGTTTATGCAGATACCTATACCTTGTTAAGTGAAACTTTTGTGTGTTAAAATCCTCTCCCTGAAAACCAAGCTTTGAGGCACAGATTCACATATGAAATGAAGTCTTCTTCCACCTAACCATATAAATTTTATCTGGGTTTATCCTGCATTTGGTAGCACAAAGTATTATTCATTTAGTGATCCTTTATCTGGTTTTGGGGAATTAATCTATCCTGGGGGTTAGGGGTGATATTGTTATCCGGGACTAGATAAGCCTTTGAATTTTCTAATTTCCAAGTTTAGGTTTCCTTTCATTTTCTTTTCTTTCTTCTCTTCTTTCAGTTCCATCTACATTCATTCCCACTTCTTTAGCTACCATGAAAAGGTAAACATACATGGGTCCTGATCTTGTTTACCCTTGCCATAATCTGCAACTATAATACCAAATTTTGTTCACAGACCAAGTGTGTATACTCAAATACCTGCTGAAGTTATTGTTGCAGGATTACAAATTTGCCCTATAACATGTATTTACTGGTATGCATGTTGTTCTCCTTATCAGTTTTTCATTTTCATTAGGTACTGTACGGTTTAATCTTGATCCTTTTAGCGAACACAATGATGCTGACCTATGGGAGGCATTAGAGCGGGCGCACTTGAAGGATGTCATAAGGAGGAATGCTTTTGGTCTGGATGCCGAGGTGAGCTCTTCTCCTTTCGATCTGCTTCAAGTTAAAGTCGTCAGCGTTTTATGTATCGGTAGGTCTAGGAATTGCTGCTTTCGAGAATTAACCCAGACCCATAAAGGATAAACCCGAAAGGCTAGATTTCACTCTTTCTGTATGAAACTCTAGTTTAGGTACCTTAATTCCTCGTAAGGAGGAGGCAGAGGGATCTGCAAGAGGCTGAAAAGCCAAGTCCGCTAGCACCAGCGAATTAGTGAACAACTCAATGTCTTATTTTTTTGTGCCTTTTCTTATTCCATCAGGTTAACGGAAGTTAGGGTGGGATCATGATGAGGGAGGTTAGCCTATGTGAGAACTTTGAATTGCGGAGCAACGAACATTCTGTTCTCAAAAAGGTTGTTCGGACGGAAATGCAATTAGGATGATAAAGAAGTCTTGGACCATTTGCCAGAAAGTTATGGTGGTTATTGATTTATGTCTGACAACATGATCATTTGTTCATGTTCAAGACCAGTTTGACCACCTAAGAATTTTTTTCCTTTTTCCCTTTTTTTGGTACCACCTAAGAATTTTGTTTATCTTAAAATACCATAATTCAACATTAGGTAGTGACTTAGAGTAACACAAACTGGATTATGAATTTGAAAAGAATGAAAAACACACATTCTGAGACGTGCACGAACATATGTAAGGTATACTTGTATAACTATCGTGTATGTATTTGTTTCTATATGTTATTTTTATCGATGTATATTGTTCTAATATTTGTCTTATTCAGAATGCTTAATGTTAAAGAAACAGTTTGGCCTGAGATGATTTTGAATGGTGAAACATGGTCACTAAGAATTCATTTAGTCGTCCCAACGTGTTTGAAACTGAGGCATAGCTGTTGTTGTTGTTGTTCAGAATGCTTAATGTGACTCTTTGCAAATCAAATGACAGAAAAGCAAAATATTGAACTTCTTCATGACCGATGAAAACATATTTGTATCATGACGCTGCAAATCAATTAGTTAAGTCTTCCCCGGTAGTTTAATTAATATGCTGTTACCTGATGATTGCTCTATATTTGGTTTCTCACAAGGATAATTTTACACAAACAAACTCATATCATACTCAGCTGGTGAAATAACACACAGTTTTGTTCGTTAGAAATTTAGTAGAAAAATGATCGCGTTTAAGGAACCGCATTCATCCAATTATATACGACACCATCTGGTTAGATGGGAATAAAGAAATTTATTTGACTTACATGTTACATATGTAGTGGTAGAAGAAAATGTTATGCTAACTAAGCAAGTTCGGGGCAAGTTCGTTTGGTAGAAAAACATCACGCTGTAGATTATATTTCAGTTTAATGCATTTGAATTATTGAATGTGGATAGAATTTCTTAGACTATGTCAATACTTTTAAGATGCTTCAGAGTAAAAAAAAGGTATAACATATTAAGATGGAAGGAGTGACTGCAAAAATCTTGCTATGGTCTAACATAATGTTGTTTTGGGCTATATCAAGGTTTCAGAAGGTGGCGAAAATTTCAGTGTTGGACAGAGACAACTTTTAAGTCTTTCTCGAGCAATACTGCGAAGGTCAAAGATCCTTGTTCTTGATGAAGCCACAGCAGCTGTTGATGTTAGAACTGATGCTCTTATTCAGAAAACCATACGAGAAGAATTCAAAGCATGCACAATGCTCATTATTGCTCACCGTCTAAATACCATAATTGATACTAATCGTATCCTAGTGCTTGATGCTGGACAGGTATGTGCTTATAAATTTTGTTCTTTCACTGTTCTTGTTTTTTCCTTATTTCCTTTTCTTTTTTTCCTTCTGTCAAAAGTTTGCTACTTGCTTAAATTAGGTTGTTGAGTATGATACTCCACACAACCTCCTGCTTAGTGAAAGAAGTGTTTTCTCTAGGATCGTTCAGAGCACAGGGGCCGCAAATGCCCAGTATTTACGTAACTTAGTACTTAATGCGGAGAAAGAGCACAAGTTCATGAAAGAAGAAGTCATGCGTATTAATAGGAAGAGAAGATGGAAGGTATCTTCCCAGTGGAATGCTGCTGCACAGTATGCTCTTGCTACAAATATTTCAGCTTCACTGAACGATTTTCAAGTGATGGAATGTCAAGATCAAAACAACATTCTGCGTGCAGCAAAGGATGCGGTTGTAACTCTGAAGGATGTTTTGGAGGGGAACCATGATGAAGTTATTGAAGAGAAACTAAGTTGCTCTAAGGTGCCTAGAGAAAGATGGTGGTCATCTTTCCTTAGTGTTATTGAAGGTACGAGTTTTCTTTTGCTTCTACACTTCTTATTTCCCCTTTTTCACCTTATTGCTCCTAACTTAGTAGGTTCCTCACATTTTGCAAAAACATAATGAGCCCCTAGCCAGTAATTGTAAGAAACCATGTGTGGCTTGAGATGAGGTTTTCTATTTCTGAGATACAACCTTCTATTCCAAAAGAATTTCGACACTTGGAAAACGAAAAGCAAATGCAAGATCGTGGTTACCGCTAGTCTTGCTGGGCATGCATACCACACCCTCAATTGGAGTGATACAGAAATGCAAGATCATGATTGCACACCGTCAATTGGAGTGGTAGAGAAATGCAAGATCATGATTCCACACCCTCAATTGAAGTTACTGCTTGTCTTTGTTGTGCACCCTCATATGCTTTTCCAAAAAAATCAATGTGCAGCTAGGCTAATTCTGTCCATGTTAGCAATGTAGTCTCAGTTGACTGATGCTATGCCTATTCCCTTATGGTATTACCTGAGTGCAACTGGTTATGCAATATTCCACAAATCTTTTATTTCAAACTTCATGTTTCCAATCTTCTTTAGTAACCACTCATTTAGTATTACATTAGTCACAAGTCTTCGTCCCTCCATTTGGAGACAGGTCGAAAGTACATTAACATAAGAACATTAGACATCATACTTGATTACTGCTCCAACTGCATTTGGTGTCTATTCTCATTAACTGGTAGCTCCGAAAAGACCAACACTAAAAGTTTAGCATGACGAAATTTGCGCTTCTGTTTTGGTTCAGGTCTCGCCGTGATGAACAGGTTAAGACATGACAGAGTTCCTCATTTTGGAGATTGTTTGGAAGAGGGATCAGAACATCAGAATCATGATGAAATCTAGCTAGATATCTTCAGGTTTTACCCAATTTTCTATATCTTTCTATATTTATATCTATCTATATTATATTAAAAGTTCTTAGCAAAATGTCGTTTACCTTTTTTACCCTTTAAAAATAAACTAACTTAACTTTGAGAAAAATACACGGCTAAGCATCTTTTAAAAACTATTTAAGAAAATGATGTCATTTCTTGTTTATTCCATAATAGCATATTATTTTACAATATTAGCATATTGCAAAAATTATGTAATTAATGAGTAACAGAATGCACAAATCATGGGATCCATATTTAACTTTTCACATTCTCTTTCCTTTTATTTTCTATTCTAAATTTCAGCAGGTTCGCAAGAGGAAAAAGAACAAGGAAACCATGCCTGCCTTTCAGTAACAGGCCTTGCGCAAAACAAAAACAATAGAGATAGATCGAGACTAGAGAGAGAAGAAAACTAAAAGAAAAAGAAGTCTTGGTTCTCAAAAGTTCGAACAAATAGAAGGATGCATGCGAACACCAAAACGACCCCAATCATTTTTCAATTCCTTTGAAAATTTTGTTCAAGAATTTTGCTTCGATTGTATCAATTTTACTATGTATATTTGATGTAGTTGAATTATAATCTTATGTATTATTACTGTTTACCAAGATGTAGTTTTTGAAAATATCTTCTGTATTTTAATTGTGTACCACTGTATATATATGTTTTTTAACAACCAAAATCATTTGTACTCGTATTAAAGAGAACTGTTGGCCGATAATATAATATACTCCAAAAATAAGTTGTATATTTTTTTAATAAGCTCATATAACAATACTATTCATCACGTATTTACTAAATATACGTCAAAAGCAAACTATGCATCTAGTCAATCAATGTACGATTAAAAATTTATGTTCAAATCTATATATTATTAAAAGGAGAGGAAAAAGTCCTCTCCTTAAGCCAAGTGGCAACCTAAAAAAAAGCCACATGGCATAATTAGTTATTTAGTTTATAATTAGTTCTTGGTTATTATTTTTGAATTTAAATATATATATATATATAAAAAACGAAAATAATAAAATAACATACATACATACATACATACATACATACATATATATATATATATATATATATTAGTTTATAATTAGTTCTTGGTTATTATTTTTGAATTTAAATATATATATATATATAAAAAACGAAAATAATAAAATAACATACATACATACATACATACATACATATATATATATATATATATATATATANAGTTTATAATTAGTTATTGGTTATTATTTTAGAATTTAATATATAGTAAAAATAGAAATAATAAAATAAAATAAAATAAAAAACTACCATATATATATATATATATATATGTATGTATGTATGTATGTATGTATGTATGTATGTATGTATGTATTAATCGGTTACTTTATTTAGATAAATAAATATAGATATCTTATAATTAAATATATGTAAAAAACGAAAATAATAAAATAAAATGAAAAACTACCCATTCAAATTGCGTGGGAGTAGTTTCAAGTTGGAGTTTTTAAATTGTTTTAAAATAAAAGGCAAAAAAATGGCTATAAAAAATGAAAAAAGAGAAGAAAAACTACCCATTCAAATCGGGAAGTAGTTTCAAGTTGGAGTTTTAAAAATTATTTTAAAATAAAAAAAACGAAAATAAAGAAAGTTTCAAGTTGGAGTTTATAAATTATCTTAAAATAAAAAATCAAAAAAAATAGCTATAAAAAACGAAAGAAAGAGAAGAAAAACTACCCATTCAAATCGGGATGTAGTTTCAAGTTGGAGTTTTAAAATAATTTTAAAATAAAAAACAAAATTTAAAAAATAATAAATTACCAATTCAAATTGGGGATTAGTTTCAAGTTGGAGTTTTAAAATTATTATAAAATAAATATAAAAAAATAAAGACATAAAAAAACTTTCAGAGAAAAATATTTAATAAAGTAGTATGCTAATAAAACTTTCTATTAACAATGGAATAATATTAAATGTTAGATGATATAATAAAGAAAAATACATAACAAAAACGTTATTCAATGCGCTCCCTGTATAAGTCCCGTTAGTTTAACAGAGATTTTGTTCATTAAATTTAGATAATATTATTAAGAACAATAGAATAAACTTTAAACTAAAAAAATATTTCAACAGTAATAAATTGTAAATCTTCTCATATATTACAAAAAGAAAGCGAATATTAAATATTGGTTAATATAATTAAAAAAAATATAGAACAAAAAAGTTATTCACTAACTATATAAGTACCTTTGATTTAATAGAGATTTCATAATTGGGTATATCGTTGACAAGTAAGATGACAATTGAATTTTATTAAAGCAATACAATCTAATAGGATCAAACAAGCCCGATCATAATTTAATTTAATTAATATTTTTTAATACTGATCGCGCATCGCGCGGGTACGACTACTAGTTATTGTATAATATAGATATACCACCCATAACGATGTAGTTAATAGTAATATACTATTAAATATTAGAGTCTCTGTGTGTACGTATATATTAGATATACTTGCTTAAAACCATAAATATTTATTATTAAAATTAATTGTTTATTAGGTTATGAAGAAACAATAATATGATAATTGAAGTATAAATAGATGGTTGTACTCTGTGTTTGCGTTGAAAGACATGTCAAATGAACGAATGGGGTGTAAATTTTAATAATGCATTATAGATTTTCGATAAAATAATTCTTAATTTTTATATGATATGTCTTGCCATCTTATACTTAGCCGTTATGGGGGATGACATGATATTATGGGCGATAATTTAGGAATTGAATTGGTGTAGCTTTAAATGTTTCGGTCAGAAATGTAGATAATTAGCTGGCATGTTTGTTAATTACTTATTGTTGCTAGGATTTTGTAAAATATTCTTAGATATTGTCTAGTTATGTTTTTCCCCAATGTCATTCACTAAATTTCCTAATATTTAACACTTTCAGATCAACTAAGATTTTGGTTATTAAATCTTTCCTTATTTGAACTCCAACGAAAATCCTAATATATAAAACTTTCAGATCAACTAAAATTTTGGTTATTAAATTTTTCCTTATTTGAACTCCAGCGAAAATCCTAATATTTATGACACTAAATTATTAACTTTAATTTACCTTATACACAGTTGTAATTATTACCTTTGCAAAACTAAATTATTTGTTGATTCTACATTTAATAAAAGGGTAATATTTAGTTCTTGGACTTACAAATTCTCCATGGACACCGTCACCAGAATCTACATTGAAATGTAGTCAATATTGAACTTTGAGACGTCACGCCCAAATTCATACTCTTCAAATCTCTATTGGTCTCAAAAATATAGAACCTTCATTGGAACATAAACATCAAACACAGTTCAAGTGAGAATTAGCAGAGGAATTAATATTATTGATTAATTAATTATAATACAATGAGCCATGTTTATAACTGTGACATATCCTACTCCTATTCCATGTGGGACTAGGACTAATTGCATAACTATCTAACACTCCTCTAGCCGGTGCATACAAATCATATGCACCGAGCTTGTTACATATGTAACTAATACGAGGACCGGTGAGGAACTTGGTGAAAATATCTGCAAGCTGATCATTCGACTTCACAAAATTTGTAGCAATATCTCCTGAGAGTATCTTTTCTCTGACGAAGTGATAGTCGATCTCAATGTGTTTAGGTCTCTCATGGAACACCAGATTTGATGCAATATGAACGCCAACTTGATTATCACACACAGTTCCATCTTGCTGATCTCACCAAATTTCAACTCCTTGAGCAACTGTTTGATCCACACTAGCTCACATGTTGCTATAGCCATTGCTCGATATTCTGCTTCTGCACTAGACCGAGAAATCACATTTTGTTTCTTGTTCTTCCAAGATACCAAATTACCTCCTACTAAAACGCAATATCCAGTTGTAGAACGTCTATTAGAAGGTCATCATGCCCAATTAGTATCTGAGTATTCAACGGTCTGCTCATGTCCCGATCCTTACACAATAATCATTTGTGGAGCTGATTTTATATACCGAAGATTGCGGACAAGTGCATCCCACTGACTATCACAAGGAGAATCCATAACCGACTCACAACTCTCACGGGAAAGGAATGTTAGGTCTTATCATTGTGAGGTAATTTAATTTACCAACCAGCCGCCTATATTTTGCAGGATCGCTAAGCGACTCACTCTGTCCAGATAGAAGTTTAGAATTCAGATCATAGGAGTGTCAATTGGTCTACAGCCTGTCATTCATGTCTCCTCAAGAATGTCTAAGGCATACTTCCACTGTGAGATCACAGTACCTTAGCTAGACTGGGCAACCTCAATACCCAGAAAATACTTTAATTCGCCCAGATCCTTAGTCTAAAGTACTGAAAGAGATGTTGCTTCAACATATCCTAATAACAACCAACATACAAGGTCATTACACTCCCATTGAGCAACAAAATCAGGTAGTTGCTTCATATAAACTTCATCCTCAAGGTCACCGTGAAAAAAAGCACTTTTAATATCCAACTAATAGAGAGGCTAATGGCGAACAACAACCATGGATAGAAAAATGCAGACTGATGCTATATTATCCATGGGAGAGAAAGTATCATTGTAATCGAGCCCAAATATTTGACTATACATTTTGGCAAGAAAACGAGCCTTAAGTCGATTAACTTGGCCATCTGGGCTAACTTTAACTATATACACCAGTGAAAACCAATAATAGATTTACCTGAAGGAAGAGGAACAAGCTCCCAAGTACCACTCGTATATAAGGCAAACATCTCGTCGATCATACCTTGTCGCCATCCTGGATGAGACAGTTCTTCACTTGTAGACTTAGGGATGGAAATGTAGGACAAAGATAATATAAACAAATAATTAGGTGATGACAAGCGATGATAACTTAAACCGACATAATGGGGATTAAGATTAAGTGTGGATCGTATACCTTTCCGAAGTGCAATCGGTGGACTAGGAGGAAACAAGTCCCCAGTAGGAGCACGGTCAAGTGCAGGACGTGAATTAGCTGGGACAGATGGTGGGCGCTAACAACGACGATAAGTCAAGAGTGGTGTTTTTGTGGCTGGGAATTAACGAGGAGCAACACTAGATTCTTCAACGATTGGTATGGGTAAGACTTTTATGGCTGAGAGTGTAGGCGGAGCTATAGTAATCTCCTCAAAAGTCGGTATAGGAAGACCTCGGATATATCGAGGTGGACGGATGTGGTAAAGTAAGGTCTAGACTCAAAAAATATAATATCTGCTGACATAAGGTACCAATGAAGATCAGGTGAGTAGCAAAGATATTCCTTTTGAACACGAGAATAACTAGGAAGACACTTGAGAGAACGATGAGCTAACTTATCATTCCCAGGGTCTAAGTTATGAACAAAACATATGCTCCCAAAAACACGAGTGAGAAGAGAGTATAAGGGTGATTGGGGAAATAATACTGAATGCGAAATATGATCCTGGATGGGAGATGAAGGCTATCTATTAACCAAATAACAAGCTGTGAGAACTGCATCACCCAAAAAACGTAACGGAACATGAGACTCAATGAGAAGTGTGCGAGCAGTCTCAATGAGATGCATATTCTTTCCCTCTGAAACCCCATTCTGCTGAGGGGTATAAGGACAAAATGAAAGATGAATAATTCTTTGAGAAGTCATAAACTGCTAAGACTGAGAGGA